CACTCGCGCTCTCCCACCCTCCCCCTCCCCTTCTTGTTCACTCGTCCCTTCCGCTCCTCATGGCCCCCTTCCCTCTCGCCCCCGCAAACGACGCTCACCTTCCCCCTCTTCCTCCCCCTCTCCTACCTTTCTTCCTGCCTCCCCTCGCCCCCACTCTGACACCTCTTGAGAAGATGATTGGAGCACCAAGGATGACGACCTACTTCTCAGCCTCAAGTGCAATGAACGACTTCGACCTAGTTGGCGCTACATCACCACCAAAATGCAGCGCCCCCAATCTCAAATCCGTGCTCGTTGGGCTGAACTTCTTGAACTACAACGGCTGGCCACATCCTGATTTTCACCTTTGACTTTTTGACTCGCCGACTCACATCATCCGGAAAACGGCCTTCTTTGACTGTGACCTTTTACTGCCGTTCTCGGTCCACCTCTTGCTTCTAACCCTCACTTCTAACCCTCGCTTGCCTTTTTGCTACACATTGGGTTGACTCTTTTCCACTCCTTGTCGCTCCTTTGTCCTTCTTCACTCTACACTCTGCCATGTCAGCCATGTCAGCCTTTCGGCTCAAAACTGGTCTCGCCGCCTATGCTCTCGCACTTTTGACGCGACCCATGTCTAATTCACCTGCTACAGGTACCAGGCGACCTCGCCCGTCCATGGCCTCCTACCTTCGGGATTCAGATGAACCTATCCTCATCTCCACTACTTTCCCAAAGAAAGCTCGTCCGACAGAACCTCCTACTTCACTGCGGACTACCTCTATACCTCTTCGAATTCTTCAACCCACTGCGACGACACTATATTCGAGTGACTCTACTCCAAGTTCGGATCGTCCGTTGGTGGGACTACTTGTCAAGCTCAACGGCGAGGAGATACCTTTTCTGATTCCCCGACCGTCACGTCGTTTTCGACTACCTGAGGCAAAGCCTTATAATTCACTACCTAGAGAGCCAAGAGTGCTATCCATTAAGCCTTTGGCATGTTTCTCACACGAAGGCTTATCTTTTAAGCCTTCGTGTACACCCCTGAAAATAGCTCCACTGCCAGACATGGTGGCCCTTCTCAGTACTCCCAAACTAGAATGGCCAAGCCTCAACCATGCAACAATTGGAACGCAAAGGCATGTTTTTAACATGCAAATGTTTTTGCAAACACTATCAATATTGATAGTGTTTGGATATCACTCTATGGGTTTGCTGAGCAATATCCAACTTTGCAGCTTTGACTGTCAAAGTTGGAACTTGAGCCACCTAGCTGTATATGTGTGTGACTATTTTCGGATTGTTAACTGCTAAAACCTGTTGCCTCCACGGTTAACCTGCGTGAGTGGTCAGTGTATGACTCGCCGTCCGCCCCGCCGCTAGAAGCAAACTACTCGAGTAGCTATCTTGTGCAAAACACATGTAAACAGTTTTGTCCTGAAACCACTGAAACCCGGGTTGAGCACGCGGCACAAAACCCCAAGAACAACACTTTAAAAGAAGTGAAAAAGGTTAACAACACATTGTTTGTTTTAACTTCTTGATTGGGCGCGCTCTCCCACCCGCGTATGGCGGAACCATCCTTTTGGACGAGGACAGCTAGTCGGCGCGATTGGCCAAGTTTGGGTCGCTGAAGATCTGGAGTTCCAAGAGGGCTGCGTAACGTTCTAGTGTAACAAGTTCCATGGTAGAAGGATGGGTGCGGCTGGCGATTTTGCCAATCTCTTTCATCAGGTCCTCGTCCTGGTAGTAGTGCTCGAACCTAGTTGTTTCCACCTACCCACATGTGTATATAATAAATATTTTACATATACCACATAAACATATATCAACGATTGATTGACAAATTCTGCCAGAGCACCTGGGGTTGCGTTTTGTTTTCTGAATGTAGATTTGCATCTCCAGGAACGCATGAAATTTCGGCGTGATCTTGAAGGACATGCGGCCATCGCTTCTCTTTCGGTCATTCGAAGCAAGAGCCTGGTAGAACATTAGGGCTGCCCACCCATAAGTGATAACCTTGTCACACTCTTCCTTCGAGAACCAGGGCCCACCCATATCAACAAGTTGTTGAAACTTGGCGAAAGAGTGAATGCAGAACAACCGAAGGTCGCTATTGGGAACCTCATCGTCTCGCTCAGCCTTCAAGTAGTCGGCAGTCCAAAACATAAGGGTCTTCACAACCGAAGCCTTATAAACGGATGACAGCTCGGGGGCATTTGCCCATTTCTCCTTTCCAAGCCGTGCGAGACTGAAGCGGTGAGAGCACGCCGACACCATGGGTGATCTCTGTGAGCACCAGGTTTTGTAGTGTTCAAAAATTGGCCCATGCAACAAGTCATCCATGTGTTTGAGGGTTATGTCTGGGTGTTTGGGTTCAAGATGATCACAAAGTACTGCTGCGATGACCACTGACGCTACCCCTTGGTGAAGAACGTGCAAGAGGTCCTCAGCTGGACTGTGTTTGGGGGTGAACTCAAAGGAAACACTTGGAGAAGGAGACTTTCAACAGACATAGAAAAATTGTTGCTATTGAATTTGAGCAGCTTCTAAGTTCCGCTCTATCGTCCACCCCCTCACACAGCTCCAGCTTGAACGCTTGTTCCAAGGGCTGATCGTCAGGAATTGGTCATGAGTAAACCTAACTGACAGGCATGATGCCCAAGGCCGCAAATCGCCAAAGGTCCACTCTGGTTTCCTGCTGGCCATACACCTTTCGCATATGAAGGTCGCATTGTAATATCTAGACAGTTTGTGAATCATGTACTTGGCTTCCCAATCCCCCTTGAACGCAAAGAAGGCTCCTCGCCATCCAAATGCAAAAGGGGTGTTGGCTCGTCCATGCTCTTCCGTTCCAGGACTGAAGGGCTGGCCAAATTCATCCTTCTCTGGATAGAGGCCGCTTTGGAGTGTGTCACAGATGTAACCCATCAAACGACCTACCGCATCATGGGTCCGGTCTTTGAGAATTGTGGCCTCGCGAATTGTGATGATCACTAACTTGGTCTTTATGGAAGGTCCCTTTCTGCACGCTGATGACATCGAATAAACCCAACATTTCTGATTCTTGTAAATCTTCACGCCGTCAGCGTGGAAGCACAAAGGGATGCAAGGTCTAGTTCTCCAGTCCTCCAATCCTAATCTTTCAAAAAAATCTTGCTCCTGCACACGCTCCCAGTACTGCACAGTGGTACTCTCAGCAAGTTGCGGGTCATCACAAACCCACTGGTCAAAGTGGCCTGAGCGCCACAAGTAGTTAAGCGAATCCCAAGGCCATAGGATTGTAGCTGAACCTTGATCCACGTGTGTTTCTTCTCCCTTTACATTGACGATCTTCAAGGGCAAATAGGTGGAGCTCGGGTGAAGAGTGCAAGCTAGCTGAAGCCACCTGGAGTTGATCAACAATAGGAGTTCCACATATACTGATACCTCAACAAACCTTTTTGGGAGGATATCAAACCATCCTGCCTGGAAAATGAACGCTGGGCATGCCCCCCGTCCAGCCACTTCTTCATCTCTAGCGCCAAAGGGCAGGTGGCTTGATCTTCAACCAAAGCCTGCGCATCCCTGCATCCATCCGTAGCTGATGTCGCCTGGGCAAGAGATATGCGCAGGAAGAATCACAAGATTGGTGGGTTCTTTCATTTTTTGTATTGAATGTTTTGGATTTAGAGGATTGATAGATCAGCTCATGACACCTGAACAGATTCAATGTTTTGGATTTAGGGCATTGATAGCTCAGCTCATGACCCCTGAACAGATTCTCCAAAGAATCCTCCGCGATGAAGTCGAAGATTGGGCGATCAAACCTTGGGGAAACATTGGGATTGAAACCTGTGTGCCAAGTATAGTCCAAGGTATTGACACGCACGTCTTGAGTTCAGCATTTCTGCCCAGGCGCTCTTGGCATGGATCCGGTGCTTCGATGAAGCTCGAGGAGATCTTGATCTGCTTGGGGACCTGGCCAGCTCACGCAGTGGGTGATGGGAACGTGTGGTCATGTCGAACCCGAAGCTGGTGAGGGAAAGAAGGAAAGCGGGTTGGATCCTTTTGAAACACCCCTTGCACTACAGTCATGGATACCATCGCAGGAAAGCCCGCGACGTGAGATAGCATTTTGAAAGCGCTCCCGCACACACACATCCTGCAGCATGACTGTAGCTATACTATATGTAACATACACCAAAAAAGAACAAACAGACCGACAGTTGAACATAGTTGAACACTGTTGGAGAAACACTTGGAAAGAATGGGTGAGGTGAGCGATCAACCCCAAATCTTGCCTGGCTAAGCTTGAACATTCATCAAGCTAGGTGCCCTATGCAAGAAACAATCGAAACCTATCCAAAGCAATCCCCTAGGCAGCTGCTGCTTCAGCACCCTTATCGGGCGGGGACGGCAAAGCTTTCGCCTTTGCAGAAGCCTTAGGCTTCCTTTCGGAGGCTCGAATCAAGGCCTTCGCTAACTCAATGCGGCCTTTGGCAAGCTTGGTCAAAGATTCCACCTGCAACAAGACCAACAAGACCATACGGATATACTCTAAAGAGTGGAAGTGCATGTCAAAAGCAAAGCACTCGTTTGCAACAAACTTAAGGTGAAATGCCTCCGAAATCGTAGAGGCATAATGCTTGTTCTTGTTTCGCCCTTTCTGAATGAGTGATTGGAGAACTTCAGCTTGCTCCTTTAGCTTGCATGAGCAGGCGCGAAGCTGGTTGATCAGGTCACCACTCAACTTCAGGGGCTGGAGCTTGAATGCGAAATCCCTCAGCCGGCAGCAAGCAATGGCAACAAAGCCTACCAATGCTTTGCAAACAACATCAACGACACCGCATAATACTCTGAACATGTTTGACATATAAATGGTTCTTGCCAAATGGCGTACAGGAGTTGTGATCTTTGAGTACCTTGTTCACCAAGACCTGCGCCTTCTCCAAAGGTGTCTCAGCTTTGACCTCAAGTGTTAGTTGGTGCATAGGTCAACTATACATATACAGTTGATCATAGTTGGAAAGATTCCACTACATAGGTGTTAGGTACCCCACCGGTTTAGCATCTTTCTTATCTTCTTCGTTGTTATTCTCTCCTCTCTTCCTCTTGATTTTGCCTTGTGCAACACCACCTGTATCAGCAATCAGCTTGTTCATACCCTCGGCACCCATCATGTTGCCAAGCGCCAAGTGCTGCTTGCCATCAAGGCATCCCCCAGCCTAAGTAGGTTGATGCGCGAAGGTTGCACGTGCTAGCTTGTGTAGTAAACCCATTTGGTTCAACGTTCAAAACAAATAGACTTCAATCAGGGAACTTCCACGAAGGCTTTGAGCCCCTCGGAGTCCATCTCTAGCTGGGTGATGCGGCGAAGTTCCTTCACGTCCTCTATGTTCATTTCCACCATCACAAAGTACAACAGCTCGTTCTCGCCGGGAAACTCCGGGTCCGCCACTGTCCTAGGTGTGGCTGATTGGACTAGCTGGCCAGATGTCTTTGTCGAGGCGAGGAAGGTCCGAAGGGCCGGAGAACAGGGACCCACGGTGTGGAAACTAGAATGCAAAAGTTAGGGCTTCAAGGTAAGGGTCAATCCATGAGCCTTCTTTCGTTCCATAATGCGAGCAGCTTTGCGCTCGCCATGGTGTTTGATCAACCATTGATCATTGCGGAAGCCCCACTTCACAGAGGTTCTCTGAACCTCTTCGAGCCGCTGCTCGAACCTTGCCTCCACCTTAGCAAAGTCCTTCCTGCAGTCGATGAAGTCGCGAAACATCTGGTGCCGGGTCTCCTATAGGAGTGTTGAGCTGGTGGTTCATCCCTATACTGTTTTATAAACCACATATTCCCAAAGTATAGGGCTGATCTGTGGATAAAACCATTAACACTTTCAAACTCAATATTTCCAAATGTAGACTTGAGACAGAGATAGAACAAATAGGCTGCCCTGCCTGGGACTTGCATGCTGCAATGATCTTCGCCGGGCACCGCTTCTTGTTACGCATCCAGCGTGAGAACTGTTGCCACCCTTTGCGGTGTGAAGTGGAATTGGCCAAGCCAGCTAGCTCAGCTTCCTCCAATGCCTTTCCTTCACCATCACTAGTCTTCTCCTCTTCTGACTCTTCTGTCTCCTCCTCTTCAGTCTTCCTTTTCTTGCGACAACTTGACTCATCGGCTAGTTTCTTCTTCTTGTGTTCATTTTCTTCTTCTGCGCTTGCCTTCTTGTCTGCCTTCTCCTTCCCACTCTTACTCTTCTCCTTTGTCGCCTTCTCTTTTGCACGCTCTTTGGCCTTCACTTTAGAGGCTTTTCCATCACTCTTCTCTCCATCTTTCTTCTTCCCCTCTGCCCCCTTCTTTGCTGCAGCCTTCTCTGCCTCCTTCTTTCCTCCATTCTTTGCATCCTTCTTCTCTGCCTTCTTCTCTTCATTTGCCTCCTTCTTCTTACTCACTGCTTCCTTCTTCTCTGCAGCCGCCTTCTTGGCAACACTCTTCTCCTCTGCCTCTCGCTTCTTCTTTGCCTCTTCATTCTTCTCTGCCTGTTTCTTATTATTCTTCTTCTCTTCCGTTCCATCGCTTTTCTTCTTTGTCTCTTTTGCAGAGGTTTTCTTCAAGATTCCCTTGCTCGGTGTGTCATCCTCATCTTCCTCTTCCTCCTCTTCCTCTTGATCTTCACTGCTTGCATCCTCCTCACCCGCTTCATCTTCCCCACTTTCACCCTCCTCCTCCTCCTCACTATCAGATTCATCACTCTCGGACTTTGCGCTTTCACTCGATGATTCTGATTCTTCATTGTTCTCATCGTCATCCTTCTCCTCCTTCTTCTTCTCCTCCTCCTTCTCCTCATCCTCCTTCTCTGAGTTGTCTTCCTCAGAGGCATTGTGCCGAGAGAGACAGCAAGCTTTCCACCACTCTTGCATGAGACGAACGGATTTGTGTGACAATCTTTTGGGTTGCCTCTTCATGGAACCCCTTGGAATCCCAGGCGCTTTCAGAAAAACACCAGGTGTCTCAAACTGTGCCCAGTAGATCCGACGAGCCTCCAGCACTTCTTCATCTTCAGACGACTCACTGCTCGAAGACCCCTCTGCTTCCTTATCATCCTTTTTGTCCTTGTTGGCACCTTTCTCCGCCTTGACAAGGAGACATGAATAGAGGATGAGAAGTTCAAAAGGGAGGAACCTCTAAAGTAATGGAACAACAAAAAAGAAAAGGTTACATCCCCACCCACTCCCACAAGCCTTCAGTTGTTGAACAATCGCAGTAGCCTCCGATTCATCCATTGCCTTCTTATTAGACTTTCCCTTCCCCTTGTTCTCAGCTTCGATCTGGTGGATGGAGTTCTCACCAAAAGAAATCCTACACTTGGTCGAGCCCTTCGAAGCACTTGAAGAAGACCTGCTGCTCGGCCTTGGGGGTGGTGTTGTATAGACGTCCACATCCCGCAACTTCCCGGTCTTCTTTTTTACCTTACTCTCAGCAGCAGCCTTGCGTAATTCCTTGGGATTTGGACTGACTGCCCTGGGAGCTGACTTGCTCCGATGCCTGTGACGTGGAGGTTCAGGCGCCATATATGCACTCTAGGTCGAGCTAGTGATCTGCTCTAGCTGCCCTGCTTTGGACCCTGAACATATATGCACAAGAATGTACACCTATTCGATATGAACATGTGTCAAACCCACAGCCCTAATCTAGTGAACATATGGCTCTAAACGAGATTGAACACAGCGCAACCAATTGTTTTCATGCCAAAGTGCTTGCACGATCGCGAAGACACTCCCACAGTCGCTCATGGTCCCTACAGATCCTGTTTTTTCAGATTTCTGTTCAGAACCGTTCAAAATCTTTGAGGTCCAGAACCCAAGAAATTTCTCGGTTTTTCTCGGCCATTTCCCGGATTTTTCCCGGATTCCCGGGTTCTAAGATTTTGATATTTTTAAAGAAAAAATGGACAAAACATGACAAAACATCAACAGATCTATTCAAAGTTGGCTCAATGTTTCATATTTCTTGGGTTGAAAGATAGAATCAAGGACCATCCGGGAAATTTCTTGGGTTGGACAATGGAACTCGGGAAATTTCTTGGGTTGGGCGATGGAACCCGGGAAATTTCTTGGGTTGGATGATGGAACCCGGGAAA